CACCATCAGGCACAGCAGAGGCTCCTGTGAGAGCCCCAGGGCTGCTGAAAGCCAAGAGCCTCAATGGGACACTCAAGCGCTGGCTGCTGGCATGAGCGTGGCTGTCCTGGGGACCTGAAACTGGAGGGAGTCACGTTGGTCAATGGGTCTCACTCCCTGCTATCAGCACCACCTACCTCATGGAGCAGCTATTCCTTTCATAACCCAGCTGCTCTAAGTGGCCCTTTGGGATACTTCATGCAACTTCTTTAGGAATGTTGTTGCCGTGGAACAGATCCTTGTTACTCCAATGTTTCAGATTTAATTTTTGTTAAAATCCACAATCTAATAGATATTTATTTATGAGCAGTTTATACCCATTTCCTCTGGCTGTTTATAATTCTGGTCTTAAGAGCCCTTTGATTCTTCCTGCATAATTTAACTCCACGTGTATTAATGGTGCCTCTCAACTTTCTGTCACTGGCATGGGTTGTGGCAGAGTTCTGGGTTTTTACCAAGGCTACTGAAGAGTACATGAAAGAGGATGAGCTCTGTTCCTTGAGGGACTTCATGAGTAAAATTCTACCTCAAGTTCTTTACTTATCAGACCATTTCTTTTTTTCTTGTTCTTGTGCCTATTTTTTGCAGCTGAGCTAATCAGTTTCCATGAGACAATTTAGTAAATAAATACTTAAGTGGAGCCATGAGGAAGAGCAGCTCTAGCACCTTAATGTACTTCAGCTGGATTGCTAAAATGCAATATTACAGTGAATGAATGCCTGTTTACCAAGTTATATTCTCTTCCCTACTACACTCCATTTTCATTGGAAACTTGTGTTATTTCTTCCCTAACTAAAAACTTGTTTTGAAACCTTACAAGCACGTGAAGTAAAACCAATGGGTTTTTTAATTGTTTAGGTAGCTTATGATCTTCTTCTTTTGTATTGTGACATCATATAGCATTTTCCACTCATTTTATGAAGTCCTGAACCATCCTAGATTTAGAAGCCTAATTAGAAGTGATTCTTGAAAAAGCTGTAATTTCACATAACATTTTTTTTGCAATCAGACTTCACTGATTTTTGAGAATCCCTTCTCCTAAGGATTTATAGTCTGAAGTGTTAGCTTAGGAACAAAATCTGACAGAGAAAGATAGATACTGAAAAATGAGTAAAATACCAATATTATTAATTCATGACAGCAGCTGAAATTAAGCTCTTTTGGAATGAGAATGGTGGATCTATATATTTTTTATACATATATATATATATACACATGTACACATGTGCATATATATGTGTATATATATATATATTTATCATCCATCCATCCATCCATCCATCCATCCATACATACATACATACATACATACATACATATATACATACACACACACATAGACACACACACACACATATATATATATATAAATACACATTTCAAAAAAATTTTTGCTTTCCTTTTCATTCCTTTCTTATTCTAAAAATGTGTATTCAGAGGACAGGAAAATGTTACTTTTAGAAGCCTGCTGCTCCTGATTTGGAAAAGACCTTTGTGGTTTTAAATGTTTTGTTTTAATCAGAAATCAATTTCCAGCTACCCTTTAAAGTGATACCTTATCTGTCCTATGCTTATGTACTGCTTAATTTTGTACTCCTGGGAGGTATTCTTTCTCTCTGATAGAAAAGAGCTTATTAAATTTCATTTATTAGGAGAATTTAATTTCTTTCCTGTTGCTAAATTTAAGAAAATATTTGAAGAATGATTTAAAAGTAATGGTAAGATTGTTTTTTGTTTTAATTGGGCGATAGAAGATAAAAGCTGGAAATCATGACAGTAGCCAACCTTTGGAATTTTGATACGGTTATTTTAAAAGGAAAATAAACTAAAGATTAAGAAAAGGATCCTATTTAAGTATATAGTCCACATATTCCAAGTGGTTGCATTCTTGCCTTCAATTCAGTAACTCCACTAAGTTATTCCAAGATTTCTCCATACATTTCAAATACAGATGCAACTATAAAATATATTAAATATATGATTTGTACTGCTTGTAACACAAAATGATTATAACATAAGTCAAGGTTGTTGTCACCTTTAATATATAGTGCCTAGTTGTCTGGTTTTTGCTCCCATTCCTTGAAGTTTTTGCTTATTGAGGAATTTGGGAAAAAAAAGAGAATTTGTTAATAAGCTGTTAGCATTGTGAATAAAGCATGTAAGTAGGAAAAAAAAAAGCCAATTTAAAAGCTTCAAACCATTTAAAAGCTCAGTTATTTTAAATCTAACAGAAACGACAGGAGCATGTGTTCTTACTTTTTTGGGAAATTGTAAAACTAAGTAGCTCATCAGAATAAAATATAATAGTAAAACTTAATTTCACCCCCTACAGAAAAGTCAGTGCAGATGTGTAACATTATTTGTGTCAGTGTTTGAGGGACCCAGACCTGTGGTACTGTTACACAGCATGTCCTGTAATAAAAAATGAGGCTTATGCTTTCTTGCTCAGCACATCGACTCATTATTTATTATGTCATTTTCGTGATCTATTACGATTTAGAACTGACAGTTTCTGGGAACCTCTCATTTCTCATATATAAAGCAAATAAATATCACTTTTACTACCCCATATATAATTGCAAATTGATTTTCAAGTTGGATCACTTAGCTTCACTTTTCATTGTCTAATGTGGCCTTATATAATGCTAAATTCTGAGGCTGTTGAGTAACTAGAGAGTAAAACAATTGATTTTTTAATATAATTATCTGTGGTCAATTACCATAGAAGTGGGAGTGTATGTATTTCAGCCTTGTAGGACAAGCACTAATTCCCATGAAGGAATTTGTAGAAGAATTGAGGGTAAGTCAAGCCCATTAACACTTCTGATGCCTTGAAGCAGATGTCTCTGTTTTTAACTCCTCCAGTTCTTCTGTGTATTTCACAAGGAGAGTTGGGCATGTTCGAAAGCCTGCAGAGGGATGTCTTGTCTGCCTAATTGGATAATTAAACCTTGGCCCAAGCCCCTTGGCCTCTAGGCTTCCTTGTAAATGATTCAGGGATCTTAGGCAGAATTGGGCATAAAGTTTATGTACAAGAGAGCTGACAGCTCAGACAAATCTCCTTGGCCAGATGTGTTTGGAGATCCATGATCTTACATTCCTCTCTCTGTTCCTTCTCATCAGCTTTTCTTCACTGGTAGCTTCTCATCAGCTTTTCTTCTTAAACTTAACCTGTGTTGCTATTGAGGCTCATCCCACTCTGCCCAGGCAGAGACCAGACTGGACTTCAGCCCTTCCTGATATTCCCAGTATTTTCTGTGCTTCCTGGCACTGTGCCCTGTGCCATCCACACACCCTGGCACAGCTGATTTCAGATTGCATTTTCATACCTGGATGCTATGACCACATCATTCTGAGAAAATGCTCTGGGAAAGCAAAGTTGTGCTCCAATGCTGCAATGCTGTTGCACTGTCTTATCTCTGACTCTGTGTAAATATTGTTGTAGAGGGTTAAGGTTTAAGTAACTTAAACTACATTGTCTCTACTAAGAGGTTTTTATCAGAAAGGTAACTAAATTCACGTGAGAGGAAATTAATTGCCTTGCAGAAATCCAGTACATCCATTTTCACTGGGAATGAAAGAGGGAGAAGTAGAATCAAAAGTGATTCCAGACTCAGAGAAAACGTGACTGTGTGTTCTTGGGAAGTGATAAAGGTACTTGACACAGGACACTGGCTGTTTGCTTTCCTTACCCTTGTGGGACTGAGCCTGTTTATGTCAAACCACTTCCTGCAAGGTGCCAAGAGCTGGGTGAAAGGGAATGTGACAGCAGCCAGCTCCTCTTGTATGTCATTGGGTCGTGCACCCTTCCTTGATGATGTTTTTATTTCTGATGCCTATTACAATAATTCTTCATTCTTATATATTTGCTACATAAGATTTTATAAAGATTGATTGGAGACTACTCAAAAGCATTTGTGACTACTAATGACCTGCTGACTTGGTGCCTGAGACTTGAAGCAATGTGTAATCAATATTTGCTTAAAAATTAGTGTGATTTGTGGTGTTTTGTTTCTCATAACTGTTATTTATGAGAAATAACAATAGTTTCATCTTGTCATAATTAGAAGTACAAAATACCCATTTTTATCTGATTGGTTGTAGAGGAATTTCTATTTAGGTTCTATTTTAAATTTAATAGAATTAAACACTAAATCATATCCAGTCTTGACTGCTTAATTGAAGTCAATGAAACAGAACCTGATCTGTTGTTCATTGATATTTCTTCACTAACATAATTTGGATTACAGTAACTGATAGTATTCTGCCATCTGGATTCATCTACATCAAAACCTATTTTATAGAATTCTTCAGGGCAGATTAAAAAAGAAAGAGAAACTGTGTCAATATTTAATGCTACTTATCCAAGGTCCATGATTCTACTCTAAACTTCTGTTTCATTTTCTCAGTAAACTCAGTTAATTTTGATGGGTGACATTTTTAAACCATGCACTGTTGATTTCTGTCAAATGTACTTTTTGTTCTACAATTTCCCTGTAGCTATCCTTAGTTTTTTGAACTTAATTATTTTCATCTGAAAATTGGCAGAAAGAGCTAAGTATTTTTTTATAACAGTTATGCCAAGTCCACTGGTCTAAATTCTTCACAAATGTAATTTGCCTGGCTTTGCAATCAGCTTAGTTTCCAGATGATTTGGCTCATCATAACTTTTAGGGAAACACATAATGGTGACAAGATGCCCTGGCCAGATCAACTGAATGCTTTTTAAAAGTAAATGTAGCCAATGAAGAAATAAATATAGATGAGGGGGTTGATTTAAAACCTCTTAACTTTTTGCAATGGAATCTTGTATTTGAAGTCATGTTCATTTCAACTTACAGGCAAGGTCTTTCAACATGCATAAATCTGTTTTAACTGTTTATTCGTGTAATAATTATTCTGTCAGTCATAGGACAAGTTATAATCTTCATAATCTTTGTTTTATTTTTACTATGTTACAGATTTACTGGCCTGCAGCAAAAGAGAAGGTAGAATTATGCAAATTGGCTGGGAAAGATGCCCAGGTAAGTATGATATATATTTTTTATTATTGCTGTGATTTATGAATATCTGTGTGTTTGTTACTAAATGCACAAAATGCATTAGTAAGCTCTTGTTACACTTCTTCTGAATTAATGGTGTTTTTTCTTAATTAAAAAAATTACATTTTTGTTGTTTTTCAAATATTAATACTTAAAAAAATTTCAATATTGCAGGCAGCAATCATGCTAGATTTTTCTTTGATGTAATAAATGCAGCTGAGAGATGAATGGACTTACCTCAGAAGTGTATACCAGGCAATGCTTCCATAAAATCCTCTTTTTTCACATTAAAATGCCTCTTTTCTTCTTGGGAGTGTCCTGAGTGTAACTTCACTATAATTCTTTAAAGAAACAGACAAGTAGAGCAGTGTATGAATCAACTTAACTTGCAGACAGCTTCATTTAGGGTTAAAAGAAAATCTCAGACTCAATGGCTTTTCCCTGGAACCACAAATTTTCTTTAGGAAGTATATTTAAGGTACATACGTGTATACAATACAACTTTTATATGTTTTGCTTAGCACAGATTACATCATGTGTCTAGAGCCTAGCCCCATAAATGTAAACATTTCCTGGCTGTAAAATAAAATTTCCTCATTTTGTCTCAAAAAAATCTCCTAATTTCTGTCCATTACATTGATTATTGAGGTAGATTCCAGTTCAAAACACTCTCAGCTTGAAGGATTTCAATTTCTTATTCTAACTTGTTGCTAGCATTATATTTACAGCAGTCAAAACCTAAACAACACCTTTGCTGAGCACTGGGAATATTCTTATACTGGTATAAGAATATTCTTATACTAGTGTATATGGAGGATTTGTGCTGTTCTATTTCTATCCTAAGAGAAGAAGGAAAAGGTTCTGGGAGGGAAATATTTGTTTTGGACTTTTATTTAGGTGTAGGATGATGTCTAGAAAGAATGAACTGATCTTGTGTTTCTCTGGAGTACCTCTGGAGTACTTGTTTTGGATTTCTCTATTAATTTCATTTTGGGGAAAGCTAGAGCAAGCCTTTTCCTCCAGCCCATGTACCATCCTTGGAGCACATAGCATCTGCCTGTGCTTCCCAGCAAGGACCAAGCCCAGCTAGAGCCAGGACAGCCACTGGACTCAGAAATGACCAAATAAAAGTCACCAGTAATATGTGGTTGGTGCAGAGACAAAGCATATCCTTGGAAGTGTGCTGAAGCCTTTCAGCTCACCACAGTTACTTTAATAATGCAATATTTGGTGTTAAAGCACCCTGAGCTGGGAAGCAAAGGCAGGAGCACTGGTAGCCACACAAACTCAGTGGCACTGCGGCCTCTGCCCAGTTGTTGGCAGGTGTTGTTTGCTGCAGCACAGGCTGAACAGATGCCCTCCAAAACATGCCGTGAGCACACAGCTTCTTGTGGCTGAAAGCCTTACAGCAGAATTAGGTTTGCAAGTCGGACTGATGAACTGCCTGGTAGATAGCCACTGTCAAATTGTAGTTGTCACCGCTTTGAACTGCTTCATAAACAGTCTCTGCTACAGTAGTTTTAAGTATAACAGTGCTATGGCTGTAACTTAGTAGAATGTATAATGTGAAAAAAGAATATAAAAAGTAACCTTTATCTTTCTTTTCCCAACAGACAGAATGTGCCAATTTTATCCGCGTTCTTCAGCCGTACAACCGGACCCATGTTTATGTCTGTGGCACAGGAGCGTTTCACCCTCTCTGTGGATACATTGAACTTGGAACTCACAAAGAGGTAATTTAACTTTCTCACTAGTGTGACGTGTCAAGGAATAGCCCTCATCTTGTTTAGCATTCATCATAGATTGGAAAATACTATGTGAGTGTGTAAAAAATGACCTGACAGCAGCTTGCATAAATAACAGGATAAATGGTGGATTCTGCGGGTCAGACGGGAACTCTCGTTCTCACATTCGGTATGTGCATATCACTTCTGAACAAAGCACTTTCCTCAGGCTTAATACACAAAGTTCTTTGGAATGACACTTCCATGTGATTAACTAAGTGAAGAGAACATCTAACCCAGATGTCTTCCTTTCTAGTAAGTCATTTCTGCACATACTTTCCTTACGCACATACATTCAGAGTTCAAGATGAAACTTGTAGTTCTATCTTTTAATGTACATATTCCCTTGGTCCACAGAGGGATTCCTGTGCCTTGTGCATGAGAGTAATGAGCACTTTGAAAAGGGCCTCTGAGCCTGAGTGCAGGGACAGTGTCTCAGGACTTTGCAATGTGTTGCAGTCTGATCACTGAGGAGGTGTTGGTTGTCGTCCATCACTCGTGGCATATTCCTGAGCTGAAGTTTAGCAGCTGATTGGTCTTCATTTGCTGGTGACAAATAAATCTCTATCCTAAGTGGTAAATGTTTGAGACCTAACCCCCAAAACAGAGGGATTTTGGTGTTGTGTCAAGCAGCCACTTAGTACACAAGTCTCTTTTTAACTCCTATATGCATCACACCTTGGCTATATTTATTCCACTGGCGCTGTTCTCAGACAGTGTTGAGATGTGACCTGTCTGGCTGATTGCCTGTGGTGCAGGCTTCCTATGCTGCTTTAGAAATAGCTTTCTCTTTTCTTCAAGGCTGGGTAATATTCTAGAATATAAGAAATGACATCTAAAGTTATGGGTTAACCTGAAAATGGATTAACCTGAAATGGATTGACTTGAAACGGAATAAAAATTGATTAGCCTGAAACCGAATAAGAATCACATAACAGTTTGGGTAGAAAGGGCTCTAAAAGACCACCCAATTCCAACGCCCCTGCCATGGGCAGGGACACTTTCCACTAGAGCAGGTTGCTGAAAGCCCAACCCAGCCTTTCCTTGAACAATTCTAGGGATGAAGCATCCACAGCTTCTTTGGGTAACTTGTGCTGGTGCCTTACCACCCTCACAGAGAATATTTTCTTTCCAATATCTAATCTAAACCTACCCTATTTCATTTAAAGTTGTTCCACCTTGTTCTGTCACTGATACATGGAATCAAGGGAAGATCCTCATGGAAGAAAAAAGGAATTAATGCTTGCCCAGACTGAGATCTGTCATTATGTACCCCACAATCTGTGGGTTGGATGACCAACCCAGAGGGGCTGCTTATGCAAAAGAAAACTGAAACTCTGAGAAATCTACACAGTAGTGTTCTTTGCCTAATAAACCATTCATGCTTCTGGTATTGTCTGGTATATGGTGTATAATTCGGCTTACAATGAAATAATTCTGTAGACTTCTTTGCTTTACTACCTTAAATATTCTGGTTGAAGCAACTGAAATTTTAGATCCCTTGTATCATGCTGATTTCTTAGCTGAATGATCAAATACACAGCTGAATAAACCAGAACAGCTCTCAGCAAGAGTATAAATAAGGCTCTGGTTTACCTCTGGGTCATTAGCAAGATTCTTTATTCACTCTATCATTGCCCTACTTCATTTCATCTACTTAATTTGTGAAGGTTGTTTTCACCAGACCTTATGAAATTATGGATTTGGTCTGACTGCTCAGTCCAGCCAGTCTAGACAAGGGGTCTGTCTCAGCTAGACATGACCAATTACCTTGTGAGAGGAAATGGAAGAAGAATCCTGGTATTGTATTTCCTAATCCCCTCACTGTCCCCCAGTCCTGCCTCTCCCACATTCCTCCTGGTTGCTCAGCTGCAGGGGTAGGTTGGACAGTGTTCAGCACTGCTCCTGCCTCTTCTGATAGAGCAGCTCTTCTGCAGCCTCCTATTCACTTATCAGCCTTGAATGGTATCAGGCATATTTTCTCTTTCCTTCTTGGAGGACCAAACACTCTTCAGCCACCGTCCTTCCACCGCCTCTCCAGATAAATGTGACAAGGCAGGAGGGTGCTGGGGATAGGCACAGTGATATGAATTTGACAGGCAGTTGAAAATGTCTCCTTGTAGGAACTGAAACCAGGAAACTTAGAATTTTTTTTCTTCTTTCTGTCCCTCACCATTTTAAAATTTAAAAAAATTTATTTAAATCTCTGGGTTTTAATAACAGATAATGGGTGTCTGGTAATTAACAACCTCTCCAGGAAGATGTGGGGTGCTTGGGAGAGCCAGGCCCTGAGACAGCCTCACGGAGGCTGGGAAGCCAGGCAGTGCTCTGCTGACCTTTGAAAGCTGCTGGTGGATGTGCACAGTGCTCTCCTGGCCAGTGCCAATGCTGTGAAAACAGAGAGGAAAACACTGTGGATCAGGTGACTCAAAACCACAGCAGCCACTGCTTTTGAAGCAGTACAAATCCCCAACGGGATCACACAATTAAAGGGGATTAAAGTCCTCGTCTTGTTATTGCTCGAGTCGCTGCCAAAACTTCTCTTGGCTGGTGGAGAAGAGGCTTGGCCTGGTTGATGCTGTTAGCCACAGCTCTCCAAGGGATGCTCTTTTCTTTGAAAGCTTTGCCCGAAGTGAAAGCAGGAGGTTAATTCTGTGTGAATGCCTGGTAGTGTCCATTAGTTTGTCTGGGGGAAGTCTGAAATATTTGATGTTGATCTGTAACTCCCTTGGTCCCCTGAGTACTGCTGGGCTTGGAGACAGCCTCTTCCCATGTGATAAGGCAAGGGTTCTCTGAGCTGCTCAGGCTTCCACATCCTAGAACAAAGAACAATGGGACGTCAGCATTGTCAGGAAAAAAAAAAGCCTAATTTTTAGTTTAGTTTTATCCTTGCTGTGTTCACTTCAGCAGCCTGAGAATTTGATTTGCATGATATTCCACAGGTTTGGGAAGGTAACAAGTATTTTGATGATTAAATTCCGCTTCCTATGAGCTAGGATTGCTGGAGGAAATTGAATTTATGTTCCCAGATTGGAATTGATTTTTCTTTTCTCTTAAGGAGCTTAATTATTCAATATCCTGGGCTTTTGTCTTCTAAGCCTAGAGAGTTTAGGCGGCACCTCAATAACATAGAAAGGTTTGGTCATTTATAATCTGATGTGCATTAAGGATGGATTGAATTAATGTGTTGTGAAGTCTAATCCTGTGTGGCCATCTTTGGACATACTTGCCTGTCATTTGTACTCTCCCGGCCTCTTGCAAGGTAGAGATATGGAATAATTAAAGTAATTAAAATCACTTAACCCATTTTTAATTGTTGAAGTCATGGAGATGTTTTGATTCCTTTTTAAACTAGCTTCTTAATTTTTTGTTTCTATAATACATTGATTAGATTTCTGAGCACTTCTGGGATTTTAAATATCACTGTAGATAGGAAAACATGTTAAAAGAAAACATGTTAAAAGCACTTCTGTAGGAAGTGCTCTCCTCTCATAAAGCTCCCCTCTCATAAAGTCAGCACAATTCTGAAGTCCCTATACCTGCAGAAAATTCACTTTACTCCTCTGAGCTATCAGTTTGCCTTCAGCAGGACTCACTATGGATTTCAGGTTAACTGTACTTTCAGGAAACCATTGAAAGGGGCAAGTAAAAGAATCCCTGCTGGCAATTCAAAACTATAATAAAGCTTCAAATGGATGCCTACAGGAATAGAGTTGTTGATTGCCCACTGAAAACATTGGCAATAATTTTTAAATAACTTATTTTCTTTATATTCCTCTCTGCTCTTTTTCTGTGGCCCAGGAATTAATCATACTGTATTTGGAAACTACAAGGAAGAAACTATTGTGATATCTCTTGTATCTTTAGCCTTGTTAAAAATAATAAGATAGAGCATATGCTGCTTTCATTTTAAAAGGGTCTGAACTGTGTCTGTTGTGAACATTATTCAGCAGTCCCTGGAGAAATTTCAGAGTCAGCCAGATTCCCTTCAGGGTCTCCTGTTGCAATACAGTCTATCAGCACTTTCCCAAATAGAAGCCAGTGCCTTTTAAGTACAATCCAGCTTTTAATTGGAGTAGAAATGAACAATGCATCTCTTCTTTTCTGAAAATAATTGTATTTTTTTTTAAGATTTGTGTTTCACTACAGAGTGACCAGGATACAGTAAAACACTGAGTGAAAAAATCCAGATATGAAACAGATACAGACTGTAAACATCAATGCTGAGATGACAGCTGCATGATCTGACACACCTTCACTTTGTACACTAGCAGAACAGGCTGTCTGAGTGAGTTTTTCTGTGTAGTCACACCAGGATAATGAATTTGTGTTTATTCTCAGGAGATGGTGTTCCGTTTGGATACCCAGAACCTGGAGTCTGGCAGGTTGAAGTGTCCCTTCGATCCCCAGCAGCCGTTTGCTTCAGTGATGGCAGGTAAGGAGCCACCAGAGCCAGGTGCTGCCCTCGGACCTGCGATGGCTCTGGGTGAGCCCAGGGGCCCAGCAGATGCCACTGCTGGAGCTCCTGTGGCACTGGTCATGTTTCCATTGTGCTCTCAGAGCTGGGGAAGCCTTCAGGCTGCAGACACCAGAGAACTGGAAGGCAGCAGTGCAAACAGAGGCATTAGAATGGCAGTGAAGCCTCTGTCAGCCGGGCGGGAAGGCAGTTTCACCCTCACCCAGTCATTGCTCCCTTAAGATGACAACAAAAAAACCCACATGGACAGAGAGTGTTTGAAGCCCTTGTGGGCCTCTTTCTGCAATTATCAATATGTTCTGCCCTTTGAAGTCTGCTGACATGCACTATTTCCATAAATACGTTTCTGAGGTTTCTATTTACTCGAGCAGCCACTTCTGAAGCCGGGAGCCGGGGAGCAGATAGTGCACTCTGCCTGCTGCGTGCATCGCAGCACTGTGTGGTCTGACATTTGGAATGTCAGCTTGACCTCTGCGTTTCAAATCACTAGAAGAGCTACTTTTGTCATGGTTTGGTTCATAGCTTTGGACAATTTTCATTTAACTTGTCCGTCGAGCATATGAATACAAGATAAGAGTGAAGCACCATGACGTTTTCATTTGCAGCCAAAGAGCAGTGGTGACAGTGCTTTGAAGTATCGGTCACTCTGTGTTATAAAAAGAATATGACTAATGTTCAGTCTTTATTCTCAGATAATAAGATAGATGATTTGTGATTCTGACCCTAAAGATGGGGCAGGACTTCCTTTATTAAAAACAATAGATTAAAGCCTGTGCTTATTCTTCTCAGAGACCCCTAGTCCTCTTTAATGACCATGAAGTCTATTTTTAAAATGGGGTTCCAGAAACTTTAACTTTTTTTTAAACTTTTTTTTTAATGCAAGCAGTAGAACTCTGTGATTTATTACAGCATTGCCTAATTTCAGTAGCCCTGTCATGCTCAGACTGTTCTGTTAAATCTTGTGAAATGAAGAGGCTGCTGTCTTTTAGCTAGCTAAGACATGAACTTTGCTGCATAACAATTTTTGAGCGAGATAAAATTAATGATCAGGGTATTCTAGTACTCTTTTTTGACTGTTACTGGTGTCAAGTGCTTCACAAGAATGCACAAGAAGCATTGTAAGGAGTTACAGGCCTGACCAGAGAATGTGTTTTGGTCTATCTTTGGATGCTTACCTTATTCGCAAGTAAACTAGGAGAGCAGTATAGCTCATGGGTAAGGTGCTGCTCTGGAGCTCAGGTGAGATCATTTCCCATCTCTGCCATTAATGAGCAGAGTAACCTTGGCATGTGACTTCTCTCCATCTACTTTTATTAATCTGCCAAATGGCAATAAAGATTACTTATATCCTTCAGAGAACACTTCTTATTCAGTTACACATTTACGAGCTAAGTAATATCTAACTATATTTTCACTCATATATGTAAGTTACTGCAACTGAGTAATTTTCATTCTTTGTAGAAATAGGTAGTCTAGTACTAGATGGCATATCACTTCAAGTATACTTATAGATAAATTTGAAAAAGTAGTTTTTTGACTGAAAAATCACCTGTTCATCATCCATCCTCACAAATTACCACTCACCAAAACTGTTCAGGTTGCTACAGAAACTTGGAATGAGAGATACCAAATGCTGAGAGAAGTGCTGAAAATGCCTTGTCAGCAGAGCCTGAGCAAGGATGGAGAATTTCTGTTGGCCCTTCAGATATATCGATCACAGAGTGCCTGTCACTTAACAAACACCAATTACCCTGCCCATCCCTCATTATGACAAATACCTTTCAGAATGCACGATTGTTTCTTTACAAAGGCAACATGCTGTCTGAAAGATGTGCTTTCCACAACTGTCATGGAAATAATACAGAAGTAACAATAATAATGAGGTAAAAAGAAAGATGATAGATCTTTTTTGGACAAATAAAGTGCTTGTGGATCATGGGTTGTGGGTTGGTTTGTTGATTTTTTTCCCTCCCTTGATCTTATTTTTTTAAGTGCATTTACATCTTTCGCAAATGAAAGCACAAACATCAGAGTTGAATGGTGTTTATTCTGCATTCACACTCAACAAAGGCTCCTCTCTGAAAGATCTTGTGAAATGTTTCAACCCAGGAGTATCAGAAAACCTGGATGAAGAACTTTTGGAAGGGGATTTTTATGTATCATATGGCTTTTTGTAAAATTATAATTTATGAACATGAACTTTTTTGTTTTTATGAATAAGAGATTTATTTCTGCAGGTCATCAAACAAAACAAAAAACCCTCTCCAACAAATAAAGCTTGTTATTTTACAGAAAAAGGAGTATTTAAAAATGCACTATGTGGTAAAAAAGCAAAAAAAAGGTTTACAGTGATACCGTTTCTTTGCTTCTTTTTGAAAAGTACTGAGATATGAAGGGAAACAGAAAATATTGTGCATTCCTTAGCATTTTCATTGCCCACACAAGGGGCAGAAGACCAAATAGTGACTGCAGTTGCAGCAAGCTCAGGGCACTGTGTTACAGATGTAGTGTCCTTGTGAGGCAAATTCTGGCTGCCTTATTTATGTAAAATGTGTCCTTTATTTCAGGGAGAGCCCTCTGTGTTAAAATGATGATTTGTGTCTGTAGCCATATTCCTGCCATTAACACAAATTCCCTGGATTTGTGCCTGAATTACTCTTTGTGAATTAACTGTTGGATGGAGATCCTTGCTCCAGGAATGGGCCAGGCTGCACATTCCAGTGGGGAAGGATCCATCCTGTTTTTCTGGCTCAGGAGCAGCAAAGCCATCGGGGCCATGGCAGTCCTGGGGCACAGGAGTAGCTGGAATGGAGAAGTGGCCATGCCCTCACCCTGGCTCCCAGGTGCATGGGACAGGGTGTTCTGATTAAATAGACCTTTAAACCCTTAAGAGCCCAGTTCCCATTAAAGCCTGGGAAATTTACTTTCCTGAGTGCCTAAAAGATCTGAAAATTAGGCGTTGACTGCGTTACTTCTCAGACATATAGTTACAAATATCACTCTCATTTAAAACTAAATAAATTCATAGAACCGAAAAACCCATTAAAATATGACCCAATAATATTTTAAAGCATTAAATTAGTTTATAGACCAATTAAACACAGGTGTTGTTCACCCAACAAAATGTAAATAGTCTTTTTTTTTTTTATGCCACAGCTGTAGGAACCCTATTTCTTTTTCATTTGCAGATGAGTATCTTTATGCTGGAACAGCTTCTGATTTCCTTGGCAAAGACACTGCTCTGACACGTTCTCTGGGCCCTTCTCACGACCACCATTACATCAGAACTGACATTTCTGAACATTACTGGCTCACTGGTAAGATCCCAAACATATGCTGTTGTCATTTGCATTGTGCCTGCCTCTGAAGTTAATAGCTCCTTCCTTATATAAATATATGTCCAGTAACTATAAATATAGATATTGTATCATGGAGGCTTTGGATTATGTAGGCTTTTTTAAAAAAGCTCAGTGGAACAGAAATGCACTTGAGAAAAGTCACAGAGGTGAAAATGCTAATTAAGGGAAGAGTGGGAGCATAAGACTTAATCATAGTTTCCGTCTTTGATGTGTATATCTGTGTATAATCCTACCACTGAAGTAATATCATGACTGAAATGCTTCTATATCCAGTCTTGTCAGAATCATGTTTTAAACTGTATTTTCCAATCACTTGTTAGAAGCTGTTCTGTATAGCATGTTGAAACAACAGACTAGAAATCCCACATTTTTTGCTAGGAGGTATTTTTCTTTTTTTTTTTTTTCTTTTTTAGGGGGAAAAATACCCTTTGTTGCTGTGAGGATCATTTTAAAACCACTAAGGGCACACTAAAATAGCTTCCCAAGCAAAACAGTGCTTTTTCTTGCCTGTTAAAAAACATTGGGAGCTAGTAAACCCTCTGAAAAACTGGCTGCATTTGCACCCAGCCAGTCTCAAACCACACACAGAGTAACATGGAAAACTTCACTCACAAGCTAACCCTGCTCAATTAAAGCATCCCCCTTTTAGCTGTCAACTGTCCTTAAAGATGTGGCAGCACTGGTCTTGGCTCAGGATGCCTGTGTGACTATTATGGGTGCAGTGTAAGGCCAGGGTCTGCTGACCACAGGGTTAAGTTGTCTTCCCAGCAGACAACTTCTAAAAAGGATAATTGTGCCTCTTAACTCCTTGAGACCTCAACAAGAGGACATGTTCTTTTTTTTCTTAATAATTTTTCCCTATCCCTTCTCTTCATTCTGTATTGTTGCCTTAAATTTCTATCTAGATGCAACTCTATAACCCCAGGATTTCTGCTGTGAGATAAGGAGAAAAAGAAAAAGCCACTTAAAAGTCATGTTTACCTTTCCAAATAGGAGATTGAAGAATCTCACTCAGCTGACCTATCCCACTTTAATTTCCTGAGCTGAAGGTCTTGCTTGTCCCACCTATCCTATCTCATCTCTGATTTCCACACACCTCTTGTGCAGTGCAGAGCAGAAATGGACTGTGATATGGACCATTATGGGTCCATCCAGGAGTCAGTTCTCTAATTCTAATTAGCCATGCAACTGCATATCCAGTGTTATCACTGATGGCCTGCAGATGCTCAGCATGGAAAGGTGGCTGGGTAGCTGCTTTCCTAAGGGATGCAGTAATAAGGTAAAAACAGAGGTTTACTGTGGTTTGGCCCTGAGGAGCATCTGGTGCAATCATTAGTATAGATCCACATTGATGAGCATTACAGGGTTCAGCTGCCAGTCCAAAAGAACTTGTAGCTTAAAAATACATTTTCAAACATTTCTTTCTCTTATTATTGTTTCTTCATGAGCAGTTTGAGGCAAGGGAACAGCACAAGAAAACAGAATAAACTATAGGTTTGAGAAATGTTTAAATGTTTTAGTGGGAGGGAGGTGTCTGCCTTTCCGCTCTCATTTAGATTGATTCACAATTTATTCTGTTTTCACTTAAAGCATCTGTATTTGTGAAACTTTTCTAAGGAGAACAGTATATTAATATGTCTGGGTCTGAAAAACAGCTTTAGTGTGCTAGACTGTGAGGTGAAAATTGCCCCACACTATATAAACACTGAAGACCCTATATATTCTTCAGGTTTACCTTGTTTCCAGCCATATAAAACCCTACAGCCACAATTCTGTCTAAGACTTCACAAACACAATCCATTCAGTGTTATGCTAAGAGGCATAGACATAAACTAGGTGCTTTTAATATTTTGAAACAGTCCTTTTAAGGTTGGAGAAAATTTGAAGTGCAACTTGAAATGACGGCATCATTTTTGCAATAAGCCATGGGGTGGCCAATATATTTCTAGTTTATTGTGTAATGTTACCAATTACATACTTCTGTGCTTTCACCCAATATTGGTATAAAGAAAATATTTACTTGATTTCAGATTTAAAACTCCCATCTCATGTAAATCCCCTCTTCTACTGCCCATTTACCAAGCATGTGTTAGACCTCCAGTAAAAGTTGTACATACTTGGATAATTGTACAATTGGAAATAAATTATTACCATGCATGACTCATGTTTTACTTAGGATAAGCATAAAATGTACAGCTTGTTTTTTTCCAGAGGGCCAAGGAAGTTTTGCTATAATGCACCTTAATATTTTTAAAGTTCAGTCTTATTCTGTTTCTGGAAACAAAATTATCCTTCCCTGAGGGAAGGGAGGTAAAGACAAAGCACGAGGGAAAAATGCGTGGGATACCTTCCAGTTCCTTGCAGGGCATCTCTATCTTGGCTAATTAAGACATGTCCTAATCTCAGTGAGTGAATAGCAGCTCTGCAGAGGGGGAAGGAGGAAGGCAGCTAATCTTTCCCATGACTCAGGCCCACACGTGCTCGTCCTCCCGCAAGGGTGGCACTGGAGCAGAGGGGAGCAGGGCTGGGCCATCTGGGGTTCCCACAGCTGCTCACTGGAGCTGTCTCACCCAGGGATGAGCCACGTGGGGCTGGTGGCCCCTCTCCGGATGGCAAAGCCACCCACTGGAACCGAGTCTGCCCCGTGCCAGCCCCGTGGGCAGAGAAAACCCTCAGCCCTACACATAGGCACCCACTGAGCAGCTGCACATTCCTCCTCCTTCATAGGAAGGGAAGGCCATAGCTGGAACCAGGGCTTACTTGAATTGCATTCATCTCTTTTTTTTTTTCCTTTTCACTTTTTCATAGCAATTTAGTCGTCTTTTCCAGGGCAAAGTCTAGGAGGCAATGAGTTCTTTATATCCTGCGAACTTTGGATGGGATTCAGCTCCCTTAGCTCTAAAAGGCAAATGTAGCATCCTGTCTGAGCTCAGTCCTTTTGCTTGCCTCTGTAATTTACTGAGCGAGGTGACACTTCCAGAGGGTGACTCACCCCGCCTATTGTAGGAATCTGTCTTAAAATAGGATTATTCATTGTCACTTTGTCCCTCCCTGAGAGATGACCTGGCTGAGAATGGGTTAGGAGCTTGACTTCTAGGTGGTTATGGTAAATGAGGTAAGCACTGTCCTTTGTATTCTGTCATGCCGTGTATTTCTGGCAGCCCAACTACACAGAGGTGCTGCTTCCCACTATTTTGGGCTACTTTTCCATTTCTTTGTGCTCCGGGACAGCCACTGCTTTGTGGGTCTCTTTTTCTGAGCCTAAGTTCTCCATAGGTTGCCAAAAATCACTGCTGGTTTCAGAAGGGGGTGATGGCCAGCAGGTAACCAACAGCCACCCCAGCAGTGAAGAACCAGCTGTATCAGCTTTTCCCATCAGACCACATGAAAAAAAGCACAAGCAGCACATGTACCATCTAATGCCAGAGCTCATGAAGCCATTAATTTCCAATTTGGTTACATACAATCTACACATGAACTTCATATGTGGGAAGATCTTCTGCTGAAGCAAATAGTAGGGGGGATAGATCTGTCTATGGGAAAACAAGCAGTAATTTAAAATCATCATAATTAGTTTCTTCTCCCATGAAAAGAATCCAAAAGCATAATTCTTAGTTAGTTTAAATGCACTTTTATATTTTGGATAGATGGGTTAGAAAAGATGAGACAAAGATCTCAATTACAGAACATGATGTGCTTTTGAGGTCTTTATCTCTTCCATTTAATTATTTTCACTTCATCTTCATATCTTTCACAATGTATTTCTGTTCGAATTTAACTTTCAATTTCAGTGTTTTCAGTTGTGATTTAAAATTGTTAAATATTGGTGTCCCTTTAATTAGTTAGAGATTCTTCTAAATCTGTTCCAGGAATTGGTATTGAGACATTTATTTTTGCGTTTGGCTTGCCAAGGAAAGCAATGAAGTTTAATCTTCAACCCCCCATACATTCAGTGTTTTGTTCTGTGAATGTGGATTAAGGAAAAAAAGGATGTGACTTTCAAAAACATGGAATAGAAGAATTTCACAGGTTTCCTCTTAAATGGCTATTTTGCTAACCACACATTTAAGAAACCATACTAGAAGCATATTTATGTATTTATTCATGCTTAGAGATCTAATCTTCAAAGTAGCCTTACAGGCCCTGAGGGGTAAGGAATATTTTCCTCAAGCTCGTTTTGAAATCCTGACTTAAATTTATAGATCTTGATGCCTGCGTATTTTCATTTTTTCTGCTGACACCGTTCTCTAGTGACAGAAAGGTTTAAAATGGAAGCAGCACTGTGACTATTTTCACCCATAAATTTACTCTTCTGTCACAAAGGTGCACACTGAGCACTTAAACACATCCCATTTTGTCTCAGGCCCTTTGTCTCAGACTGCAAACTTTTGAATCAAGGGCTCCCTTTTTCTCCTGTGTGTACTGTGGAGTTCATGGTGAAAATTCCTCAAGGCTAATATAAAGTAACAATCATTATGAAAAGGACAAAGGCATGAAGATATATTGAAGGCTGATAATAGTATTCCCCCGTATAAACAGTGTGCTCTGTTTGCTCTGCATTCTTACGCTACCCTCCTTAATGCTTTCTACTGCAGCCTACCTGATCCTGGGGGACAAAGACTGTGTATTTTATTGCTGAAAGAATGTATTTTAGAGTCAAGGGTCTCTTTGCACTGTATTTGTATAGCCACTTCTGTTTAAAGAAAAGCACCATTGATCCAAGTGCCCTCAGAAGAGCTCATCTATTGCAGCACACTGGGGAATGTCTTAAAAATCCCTGCCCCAAGTAGCTGGTTCATTTGTGCAAGGCAGGGTTGTTGGCTGCTCTGCTGCAGTCATGGACCCTGGAATTGCTTCAGTTTCTGATTTTAGTGCAAAATGAAAATGAAAACAAAAACAAACGAACAAGAAACCCCAACACCGAAAACAAAAGCCCTCAACTAGTGGGCAGGTAGAGCAGGATGGGAGGCCATGGATGAGGGATCTTGGGAGCAGTGAGGGACATCTTGGCCCTGTAAGCATGCCTGCAAGATGCAGGCAGATACCCATGCTTGTCTTGGAGGGGACCAGGAATAATGCAATGGCCCAGCATGCCACAACAAGGCATTTTTTGCAAAAAGCAGATTTAAATAACCCAAACAAACCCTTACATTGATATAGCCAATCTGTTTGCAAACACAAGGAACTGTGTTCTTAAGAGTGACCAACAGTTTCGGAGTTTGCTGTGCTAACTGGGGAATCCCAGCATGGCACTCTGTTGGATTTGTGTTGGAACCCTGGTTACTGAGAATTTTAGACTTTCTGTGCTGACAAACACTGACCTCCAAGAGAACACTACATTTGATCTCAGACCATAGACAAAATGTCCAAAATTAAATGACAAAACTAAGATTATTAGTTTGAATAGAAGTGTGTAATATCACATATTAAAAAACTTAGAATTTAAAGCTTTAGAAATAGTAATATATATAAAACAAGATAGAAGTTTTTAAGCAGAAGTTAGTCCTTCTTTTTCACCTTCTTCTTCCTGGATTTGGGTGATATTGTATAATTAAATAAAAAAGTCCACATTACAAACTACAAGTAGCTAGTTATTGAGCTAAAAGTAAAAATAATTTAAGTATAATTTCTTAATTAAATAGTTTATCCTTAAAAAACCTCATAGAGAGATACAACTCCATTTTTTAGTTGTTAAAATGAAGTACTACAGAACTCAGTTTGTGAGACTATAATATAAATAAGAACTAACAAACATCTAAATACAAACAAAAAATACTATCTCACACATTTAATCCCAACCCTGACAAAAAAAGAAGTTAAAAACTCCACACATTTGGTAGATACAGTCAGTAAGATTGCTGCATCACAGATATGTGGGAGACATTTCTTTGCAAGCTATCTCTAGTAAACAGTAGTATAGTTCTGTATTGATAACTGCTGCCATGAGTTAATTAAATATATTTAAATTCTACCAGGTGATTTCAAAAAATCTACTTAGCTTCATTTTGGAGGAAAAAGCAGTGAGGTAGATCTGTGTAGGCAATACTTTGTACTGGGATTACTCTATTTCCAAACAAAGATTGATGACCAGTGCTGCATACTTTTGCAAGTGGTAGTAAGATCTACACACAAAAACACTAGCCTGAGAGTAAATACTTCAGACTTCATGGTGATTTTCACTTTGAGTTAGTAAGAAAGTTACTGCTACATATTTATATAATATTTTTATTTCACTTAAAGAGGTAATGTAAATGCAGAGTTTAGCAGCAAGTACTAAGGCTTTTCTTCAAATTTTTAACCCCCTTTTTCTTTTGATTTTCAGGAGCGAAATTCATTGGAACTTTTCCTATCCCAGATACCTATAACCCAGATGATGATAAAATCTACTTCTTTTTTCGAGAAATATCTCAAGATAGTGGCACATCTGACAAGACAATCCTTTCCAGAGTTGGGAGAGTTTGTAAGGTGAGGACTCTATCTTTTTGAGAAAAATTAAGCAAGTGTGGTTTATTTGTGTGAGAAACGTGTTTTCCCCTTTGTTACCCAATGAGCCACTGTAGTAATTTTTCTGAAATTGATTACTAGTGCCATCAGAAATTTACTTGGCATAAAATAGACTTAGTATTGACTGTGCACCTCTTTTAAAAAGCTAATAGGTTTGTAAATTATAATCCTGTGTCCAAACAGTAAAGTATTGACCTTCAGTGCAACAATATCATGTTTTGTTTCATGAGCTTCCAGTGAGGGTGGATGAGTCAAAGTGAACACAGTGGCAAGGTATTTGGGGTTTTGTAGAAAGTGCCCATTGATGCATGGAGATCATACAAACCCATTCCTTAGCTTGTCTCTGTACACGATTCCTGGGCATTGCTGAGAGCTGGGGTCAGTCATTTGTTTCTGCACATTCCTGATAACCCACTGGGGTGAGGGGAGGCTAAGGAAATACGCAGTTTCTGAGATACACCCACATCTGCCTGGAGGTGTCCTGCCTTTGGAAGAAGAGCAATCCTTGACCCATTCACCAGGAGGAATGAGACCCTGGGTCTCCTGCAATGTAGAAAGTTAATTTGGCTGATGCCTGACCTCCTTTGAATGATTACTCCTTCACTTTCCCCTTCATTCTGCTTGGGTTTGCCCTTTATGAAAGATTTGTGCCTCAATAGTATATAGAGACTGAAGCTTTCATAAGCTTCAGTCTTTTTGGAGAAGCATCTCTCCAAAGGGCAGAAGCCTCCTCAAAAGACAAGAAGAAAAGCACAATTCCTGCAGATGAAGACAGCACTCAGTGTAGTTTGCTGTTTAGCAGCCTGGTGATTTCACTGAGGTCTCTACCCACAGTAGCAGAAGGGTTTGTAGACTTCTGTGTCAGATGCACACTCTATCCAGTCCATTGTCCCCTAGAACATTCTGTCCCTCTATTCTGTAGTAACAGAAGCAGTTAGTGGAAGTGCTCTCATCCTGTCTTTGGGTCCTCAGGAATCACTGGTGAAAATCAGGAAAATGGAACTTGAAAGCTGCCTTCATATTAGTAACATAGTAAACATAAGCTTTGAGCAAATGTTTGTATTGTGATAAATTAGATATCAGTAGCACCACAGAAGTCACACAAGTAGCTACATTTCTATGATTTTGTTCAAAATCATTAACAGACTTGCAATTTCTGAGCAGTGTGACTCTGCTGGCAGTTTCTCGAGAAACTTGAAAATTAGTACATGAACAAAAGTGTTTGTGATTTGCAATAAGATGTGTGTGGGAGAAAGCACTCATTCAGCTGTGGACACCCACTGAAAACAAAGAGTGGACAAGTGTATGGATGTGTAGATCTACAGCTGCTCTGCAGTCCAGCAAACTCCCAGCTCCACCTGAGATTAGAGTGGCCACAGCCATTTCACACTTCTGTCCTTGACCTAAAGTGTTAAGATAACAAAACACTCATTCATAAATCAGTTCTCTAGTAGGTTTTTAGCCAGACGAAAGAATGGATAATCTTTAGCTGGGTATTTCACAGCAGAGTGATTAATGACAGAATGGAAATGCAAACATTTATGATTTGCTGCTAGACATGGCATTTGCTGATTATGAGAGAGCACTTAATGCATTAGGAGAAATTGATAGACAACATTTGCAAGCCAAGGCACATGAGAGTGTATAGTAAACTAAGATATATTGGCTAGAGAAAACCAGCATCCTTTACCTAGAGAAAAAGGGAGATAAGCTATCATAATAAAAGCAAATGTATTGTAAGGAAATCCTAATGACTGTGTATAATCATACCTCAAATGAGAATGAATTTGTAGAGTAGTCATGTTAACGGGAGAAATGTCATGAATTTTATTTTTAGTAGTCAAACCAAAACAATGAAAACTGATAAGCAAGGTGATTATTATTAATAGTTCTACACTGTCATCTTTATTTACTGAGCACTGGTTGCAGAATTCTTTTGATAATCCAGACTCCTGCTTTTCTATATTTGTCTTAATTACCAACAAATTAAAAAAATATTTCTAATTATTATAATAAAAATAGAATTATTATGGATATTTTATATAAATTAAATGTGAAAATAGACTTGTCTGTTCATGTACTGAGATATTTTGGATCTGTGCTGTGGTATGAAACATCTGCTGTGCTTAATTGTCTCTGACATGGGAACAATGCTTTTGATTGCAGCAATTGATAACAACAATTTCTAATTGCACTGTCTCATTAATGTGATCTGTACTGCACAGAGTTAAGCCTTTCCTTCTTTCCCTCTTAAGCAGAGAATAGCAGCATTTGGGAGGAGCTCAGCAACTTCTGAAGTAGTTTGCTTGGTGTAAACACAGTTTTTTTCTACTAGAACTTGATTGCTCTCTACCTTGCCATGCCTTAGGGCTCCTGTCCATTAATGCCAGAAACACATGCTGAAATTAGAACAGGCTTTGTTTTTAGTAAGGAGCTTAGTCAATGCAGCCTATTCTTTGGCTAATTTCCAAGGGTTCAACAATACGATCTCTCAGTGATCCCCTCCCTTAGGGGAAGTCTCAGGAAAGAATTCCCCTTTCCCAGCTACTTTCAGAGCCAGAAGGCTGCAGTGCTCTTGCTGGCAGCTCCTTGCCCAGAGTCCAGCAGCTGTCCCTTGTCCTGCTCAGCACAGCCCCTGCCCCCAGTGCCCTGCAGCCTGCGCTGCAGCTCTGCAAGCCCCACTCAGCTCTGCATCATCTCTCTGTGTCACTGGCACTGGGGAGGAGCTGCTTTCAGCAGCCACTTTCAGAGCCAGTTGTGTCATTTATCATGGCAAATGGCATTTCCGGGTTTTGGTTTGAGCAAGGCAGTGAAAGTATCATTGCCTTATCTGCAATACCTGATCCAATTTCTGGTGCGTTCATACTTACATAAATTGCAATATTTGGGGTTATTGGTTTTCTTTTCAAATAAGGCCACAACCAAAAAGAAAAGTAACTATTTTAGCCAGCAAAATTTATTTATTTTTTAAAATGCATGCAGTTAGACATATGTATATTAATTGATCACACAAAGGTTAACTTCTTAAGAGCATGGATCCACTTATTCCTATTTCTATAAACACAGGCATAAGATTTTACAGCTACATTGTCTTCAAGCCCACAATCCTGAACCACTTTGCATCAGATGAAGGCAGTACAGAGTCATTACACATTGAGGAAGATTTTGAAAAAAATTACAATTTCAGCATCCATACACTGTGTCGTATGCAGTCCAGTAGCAAGTCAGCTTCATTTTTGTACATATTCACTGCTAAATGATGGTAGAATTCTAATTCTATTTATTGACAGCTTTGTATATGTACAAATATAGCCCTAGAAAAGAACAGTTTTCCCTCCTATTTTCCCCACTCAAATAAAGGGAGAAATAGAAATCTAACATAGAGGAGTCACAGAAAAAGTTTTGAAGAGGGAGGAAAGTTGTTGGACCTTTGTTTGTTTGTTATCTATATAGAAACACATCTTTCCATAGTTACAACCTCATCCTATTGGAATGAAGTGGAAATTAGCCAAAAGCAGTAGTCTCTCTGCTGCAGTATGAAAATCGTGTTTATTATTACAGCGGTTTGCATTTGCTGTGTTACAAGCTTCTCTTTAATGGTTTTGGTAATGTATTGCAAAAGTTAAAGCTTGCAGTCTTAGAGGCTGGTTTCCGAGACCTCAACTGCCAAGAAATCAGACTTCAGCCCCTGATGTTTTCCCATACTTCCCCAAGTGTTTGGTGTCCAGAAGCAGCCTTTGTTCTAGTGGGAACAAGTGAGCTCTTTGTCTTTTTTTTTTCTTTTTTTTCCCCTTTTTTCTTTTTTTAAATACCATTCCACCCCTATATATACCAAGCTGTACCTGGGGAAAAGCATACTGCAATTAGGCACAGCCCTCTTGGTTAAACTGTACTTTCTAAGCACACTGGAATGTAATCATTTTAAGAGCTCTTGAGTCGAGAGCCCTGGACACACCCTGCATTCCACCTTTGGGTAATGTAATTTATTTCCAAAGCCATGAACATCAGCAGAGTTCAAGGCTGTGACCTTGCCTCCTGTCTGGTGCTTGGAGCAATTTGTATTGCCAGAATGGCAGGAGGGAGCTGTTCCTCTGCAGCTCCAAGTCCAAACTCTCCACGGGCTTTGCCACAGGGCTGCTGGTGTGTGGAAGTTTTTCTTGTCCTGGATATAGTCTATCTATGCCTTTACTGTGACTAGGGATAACTGGCCCATGGTCATTGTTGGTATTTCTGTGTTGTGTGGATAATTGATCTCTCCCCAAAGCCCTTGGAGCTGTCCTGGCAGTGTCCTGCTTTCCCGTTCAGCCGCACCAGCCAGGTCCCGGAAGCCAAATAGCCATGTTCACATGTTCTCAGCAGGGCTCATTAATCTGGGCTCACAGCCATGCTCGTGCAGCCATCCTGCTTCCAGTTCTGGAGGCAACTCATTCCAGACGAGATTTAACTTCCTGCGTGTTACATGCTTACATACCTCCTTTGTCACTGTAATACTGCCTAGCCATAACTCCAGACGTAGGAAATATTTTTTTTCCCCTTGATTTCTCAATAATAATGATTAAGAACTCTCTGAAAAAGTCACCCCTTGATCAACCTTGGCCCTCATTCCCTCATTTGCCTACTGAATGTCCTTGCAGCCATGAGGCCTTTGGCAATCAACTCCTCCATGAGGCCTTTGGCAATCAACTCCTCTTGGACTTCCAAATATGATATTTGCACATTATGTGTCATTTGAAAGTTTTCAAATTATCTAGAAAAGCAGATGCTCATCATGATGATTTCATTTTTACAGGCTGATGTGTTGGAGATTGTCCAGGTCCATAGAGTATCTGCTTCTAACTGTGATGGATTAAGAGATATAACATCAGGCTTTGTCAGGTCTTTTGGTCCAACTTTCCTTATTGGCAAGGGTTATATAAGTATAGGAAGTTTCGTAAATTTCTGTCCCTCATGGGTGTGTTTCA